GGTCTTATCTCTAAAGATCAATATTGTAATATAGTGTAGGAGAATAGGCAATGATGGAGGAAAAAAAAGGTTTCATTTGGTGGAAACATGCAATGTTCTGTCTTATGTCATGCATGGATATTGGTACAGCACACAGTCTATATGGTGTGCATGCTCCTCAATATTGCAAATTCAATATAAAATTATTAAGAATGAACTTTGTTGGTTACATGTTTGTTTACACTTGTGTTTCATGCCTATTTATACGCTAGTTGCTTCTTGTTATATTGGAAAATTTCATGTTGCAGTTAGGTGATTTTGGGCTTGCTAAATGGAAAACAGATGAAAGTTCTATTCACACTAGGGTGCTGGGTACATTTGGGTGAGTTAATCTGTTTCATGTGCAATGTAAACATATCATTACCTTCATATAATGTAATATATGGGTTGGAATCATTTATGCCCCGGGGCATACATACTTAATTACTAATACTTTTGCGCAGATACCTTGCACCAGAGTATGCAGAAAGTGGTGTTGTGTCTGTTAGAACAGATATTTATGCCTTCGGAGTTGTTCTTCTTCAACTGATTTCTGGGCGTAAAGCAATTAACTTCAGTACAGGAGAAAACCAAATGTTATTGAGATGGGTACATTGCAGTTCTTTTTCTTTTTGTTGTTATTGTAATGCATGGAACATTCTTGCGATTGGTGCATTTCTGCTCTTGTTTTTTATTACATTATACAGATGTATAAATTTTTCCCAAGATTTATACTCTGTGTTTTTTAAATTATTCAGGCAGAACCACTTATTGAAAGGCTTGCATTACATGAAATCATTGACCCACGTATAGGAGAATCATATGATACAAATGAGTTGTACAATATGGCAAGGGCAGCATACTTGTGTGTGAGAAGAAAACCAGAAATGCGTCCATCTATTGGAGAGGTATCGCTCTGGCATCCATGACAGTCTGCAGTCCTCTTATCGTGTGTTGTTATTATTTTTGCAAATATTTTACACATCTATACATGCCGAATTTATTGTTTGTATTACATCGTTTCATTTTCACTATTTATATGATAGTGATTGTTTGATGTTGATCATAACGTAACCCACTATCCGTTAGTGCATTTTGAATATTATTTATTGGAATTCCCCTTGTTTTCCTTGATTAAATTTTATGAACTGATTGTTTGGAATCTGCGTGTACTTTAAGCAATAAACTATTTGATTGCTGAAGCACAAACTGGGCTAGAAACAATCTGATTTGATTGCTGAAGCAATAAACCACTCAAAAAACAGTCAAATTTGGTCTAAACCGGTTCAGAATGGTTTTGATTGGGTTTCTTGTAATTTGTTCATTTGTTTTTTCAGACCGGTCCAACTGGTGAACTAGCCAGTTTGGAGCGGATCAGTGCCCTCACTTGTTCATTGACTCATCCGGTTCTTAAAATTGAGTCGTAAGTATAGATAGTAATTCTACTATCCAACCTCTGACTTTGTTTCATGTCCCTTCAGGAACAACTACTTTCAGGTAGAGGTAAGTGTTAGATTTTGCACCTAAAACATTCATGAGGGAATTCATGACAACATATTAACATATTCTGCGGAAAACATGATGTAGGATGCTCACTAGAGATAATAGTATTATTATGCATATTCTCCATACAAGCACTGGTTAAGAATGAGCTATAGTTAAGTTGCGGACTTGTGGTATCTTCTATGTAGTGAGAATGATTATTTCATAATAATTGATAAAATTATTCTTAAGGTATTTGTTGCATTAAATACTACCAAATACAAAATGAAGGCAACTTGAAAGTATTAGCCGAAAGATATCCAGTGCTCAAATTGGGCTACAAGAGTCTTGTCTTTTTTGAGTCAGAATCACACACTTATGCCAGTCTGTGTATTATATAGTCTTTTTGAAGATCTTTCCCTTAGTTAGTGCGTGAATGTTAACCTTTGTATTGGGAAACAAATAGGTACAAAATAGGGGGCCGTGTACTCGGTATAAAAAATGGCAACCCACAAGTCAGGTTCTCTATACTCCGCAGAAATGAGGTGCACCCTGATTGGCTATATTCATAAGCAGTATGTATTGTATGGCTCCTGGAAACCGAAAGTAAAATAACATGGGACCAAAGTCAAAAGAGTCCCAGGAATGATTCCACTGGTGCTGTCCGCAGCAGCTCCATCTTTGATGTCGGCATCAGCCTCTGAGTTTGTCCTCTGCCAGGTATGCTGTAGGGAGATCTGAATATGCCTGCATATATCAATTAATTGGTCAAAAAAGTGTTCTAGATGCCATGGGTAGGGGGAGGCTCCAGATGCCCAGTTTTTCTAAGTCACCCTCAACCACTAAAAATGAGCCCCATTGCTGATTGAATCTTTTGGTGCCTTTAGCGAGGCCACTGTTACTGCCATGGTGGAATCTGTGTCATCCATGAAACCAGAGTAGGACTCAATAGTGTCCCCGCTATGATCATGGAATAACCCGCATGTGCCACGAGTGTTTCTGAGTGAACATCCATTGAAGTTCAGTTTAATTTGGCCTTGTTCCAGTGATCTTCACAAGGGTAATTGAGGGACTTTTGGAGACCTTGCTTTGACCATAGCTTGCCAATTGTTGAGGAAATCTGCAGTGGAGTGGAAATTGAAATGTTCAGAGTTTATTGCCCAGAAAATTACCATTTATTTAATGTGATATTTGAAGAACTTGGTATTCCTTTCCTTCCCCTCGATATTCTGGTGTTTCTCACTGTCCACGGCGCCCAAAGAGTTGCTGCTAAGGCTGCTCTCCATAAAAATCTCCTTGCAGATGAGAATGATGGAGAGTAGTGGAAGAGGGTTGGTATAGACTTGTGGTGGAACCTAGGTCCATTGGAATAGCTGTAATAGATCAGACCAAACTTACCAGCTACTTTGCAATGGAGCAATAGGTGCTTATTAGTTTCTTCCTTCATTTTTCACCTAGTGCATCGATTGGGTATAGGAAGCCCCGTCTTTGGATTTGATCTAGTGTAAGTGCTCTTCTGGCAATGGCAATCCTGCTGAAGGTTTGAATTTTGTGTGTGTGCTTTGGTTTTGGGGGGTTTGGTGGGGTGGGGGGGAGGAAGGGAAGGATTCAGCCAAGCTCTTTAAGCTAAGATTGAGGATGGGGGGTTTGGGGGGGTTGTTTGAAGAGTAGCATAGTAGGACACTTAATTTTCCTGATGGGGAGGGCATCCATATGATTTTATGCGGCCACATCAGGTGCTATGCGCCTCCCAACGCATCGCACTTTCCTACATACGTGGTTTGGAGAGATGTGCCGCATATCTTCGTATCAGAGCCGCATCCCGCATCGGGCTGCATAATCTATCTGCCATTTTTTTCAAATTGTACCCCTCGGGCAGGGGCAATAAGGGCATTTTGAAAATTCGGGCAGAAATTTTATTTGTTGAAGTTCTTTGGTTTGTAATACAAGATTAAAAGTCCATGAAGATTAAAAGTTACAAATCAAAGAACTTTTCCCAGTACTTTTCAAATAAAATTTGTAACTTTAAAGAGTTTCATGGACTAATACAGTAAAGTTACAAATTAATGAGTTTATAAAATTTATTGATCTTCAACATGCTCTGATATCCTAAAGTTACAACATTTTTATAAATTTATAAAGTTTATAAAAAGTGTGCAAATTGAGCCGAAGAACTTCATGGACTCTTTTCAAGATTAAAGAGTTTATAAAATTTGTAACTTTAAAGTTTGTGGTTGCAGATTTGTACTTAAGGTTGTTGTTTGTTGAATGTTTTATGAAGCTAGTTTCAAGTTTCTAGTTTCTATTAAGGGATAGTGGATACAGAATCTCTTACAGCCAATACTTTTGGAGTTAATGAATAATCTAAATACCTACTATCACATATATCACGTCCATATATTTTTCTATGCAGTAACCTATTTTCTTAGATTTTTTTTCATATTTATTGACCGCGTCGCCGCGATGCACCCACATCCGGACCGCATAGAGCCGCATCGGCCCTCCCAACGCTTTTGGTTGCATCCCGCATTTTAAAACACTAGAGGTAGGTGAACTGCAACAAGGAGGAAAGAACTAAACTGCACTTTCTCTTAGTCTTGTAAGGCTCTCATGAAAATTTGGGCTGTTACACCATGGTTGTTGGTTACTCAGAGGAGTGATTGGAAGCAACTATGTAGGACAGAATCCCCAAGCCTTAAGTCATTCTAAAAGTTACTCGTCCACCACCTCTTGTTCTGAAACGAATGTGGCACTTGTAATGGTGGACCAAATCGAGTGCCACACTTCCGAAGATTTGCATTTAGAGTACTACGAGGTGGCCAGGCGGAAGGGGGCACTTGATATTTTCCTTCTATCACAGTTTGCCACAGCTAGTCTTCTTGAGTGGCATAACATCACCACCATTTGCTGAGGGCTGAGTTACAGTGCCTTAGGTCACGTATGCCTAGACCACCTGTCAATTCGAGAAGATAAACTGTGCCCCAAGCTATGGGTGGAATTTGTGGCTGTCCCTCGCCCCCAACCAAAGAATTGTTTATTTTGTTGTTTGGGTGGGGGTCGGGGGGAATTAACTGCTTTTTTGCTCAAGAAAAGTTACAATGACCCACAAGATCGGTGCTCTTTACATTTTCCAAAAAAATTGTCTCTCTCCAAGCCCATACAAAAATGGGTGAGGGGGACCCTGTACATAAGAAACAAAGATAAAAGTCTGTGCGGAAGTCCCAAAAATGTTGACTTATGGAAGTCCAACTGGTAGAAAGCTGAACTGATCGGATAGTGCTCCTGCTATGGCGAGGCTATCTGCTTCATGGTTGGCCTCATGTCATGTGCTGATAGGAGATGTGTATATGCCTGCATAGATTGAGAAGTTGGTCAAAAATATGAAGTAGCCACCACAGACACAGCCTCCTTTAAGCACAGAAAATTGGAGTTTTGGCTGCTAACTGACCATCCCAGCCTGACTCTTTTAATCCCCTCTAAGAGGGCAATGGACTCAGCACATCTGGAATCGGTGTTGCCTATGTAGGCGAGTAGGAGAGCAGTAGGTTGCCATCGTGTTCTCTGAAAAGAACCCCATAGCCTGCTGGTCCCGGGTTGTTGAGGGAGCAACCATTGTGTTAGGATCGATTTAAGGTGGCTACTAATATGGATTAATTCAATATCAGATTTGGATCAAAATCTATCATTGAAATCTTATTTGGAAATATTATCAAACATTTTTCATGCATATAATTCAATCACATAAGAAGCATAAACATATGTCTATAATAAGAGCTCCTCAAATGATTTATTCAAATCCCCAATGTGATATCCTCTATTTGATGCTCTATCATAGTCATCAATCATACCAAGATGAGCAAAACAAAAGTATGGAACGAACTCACCAATATCTTGCAACTAGGGGTTGTAGAGAACTAGTAGCTCCACATCTTTAGAGCATCATAAGCATGCCAAATATAGCCTGAAAATCTGTTACCATGATGTATTAGTAGCAATGTAGAGAGAGAAAGCAATAGAGACATGAAGGAGCAAGATAGCTTCACAATAGATGATTACGGTGCCCCTTGCAAGGCTATGGATGCACCCTCGGATCCAAGGCACCTCTAAATGCTTAGTGAGAGAGAGGGAACACGGATGTTGAAAGAGAATGAGGTGCAACACACCAAGCCCTCCAAAACCTACCTCAATGTATATAGCCCTTTTGCTTCGACAGTTAGAAAAAAGAGTGGAGGAGCTCTTTTTAGAAAACATGGAATAAAAAGGGTTAAATAAAATACGATATTTTGGTCATTTCGTAAAAGATCAAAACAGTCCCTAAGGGCATGAGAAAACCCAAGCTCAACATTGCCCCACTGTTTTTGACATGGTTTTGGTTTAATGAAACATCTATCCACATCTTCAAGCGGTCGATCTACCCACACATACA